AGCCATTTTTTGCTGTACAGCACTGCACTAGTTTAACTGACAACTGCATGGTCATGCAATACTGTACGTACATTAAATTTATGTCCTTTTTTTCAAACAAATATAGCTTTCTTTTGGTGGTATTTGATCACCTGTGCGCTTTTTATTTTTTGCACTATAAACAAAAAAAGACCAAAAATTAAAAAAAAACCAAAACAATATATTTTACTTTTGACTATAAAAAATATATAGTAAGCTCAAGGTTAGTCATAAATTTAGGTAAAAAATTTTGGTAAAAAAAAATCTCAATAAGTGTATATTGATTGCTTTATGTGAAAGTTAAAGCATCTACAAACTGTGCTATAGATACTGCCATTTACGCTGCACTAGTTTAGCTGACAATTGCACAGTCATGCAATGCTGTACATAAATGAAATTTATGTTCTTTTTTTCACACAAATAGAGTTTTTTTCTGGTGGTATTTGATCACCTCTGCGCTTTTTATTTTTTACGCTATAAACAAAAAAATACAGAAAATTAAAAAAAAACAATATTTTCTCATTTCTGTCATAAAAAATATTAAAAAAACTCAAATTTCATCATACATTTAGGATAAAATGTATTCTTCTACATGTTTTTGATAAATAAAAATCCCAATAAGTGTATATTGATTGCTTTGTGTGAAAGTTATAGCGTCTACAACTATTCTATAGATAATGGAATTTACACAGCTGAGAGGCATATTGAGTCCATGGAAGATTTATTTTTTCTCCACACGTTTTTGGAAAATGACAAAAACATTTTTTTTCCACAAAGTTGTCACCTAAATGATATATTGCTCACACAAGCCATGGATATATGAGGAATTACACCCCAAAATACATTATGCTACTTCTATGGGGATACCACATGTGTGAGACTGACTTTTGGGAGCCTATCCACATACAGGAGCCTGAAATCCAATGACCACTTTGAAAGTCTAAAGGTGTGTAACTTCCTCATTTCACTTCCTCACTATCTATCACAGTTTTGGAGGCCCTGAAATGCCAGGATAGCACCAAACCCCCAAAATGACATCTTTTTAGAATGTAGACACCCCAAGGAATTTAAAAAGAGGCATGGTGAGTATTTTTCAGATCTCATTTTTTCTCACAAGGTTTTAAAATATAAAAAAAGAAAAGAAAAATATGTTTTTGTTTTCTTTCTTCATATTCTAAAAACTTGTGGCAACAAATGAAATCTGCAAAATACTCACCATGCTTCTTTTCAAATTCCGTGGGGTGTCTACTTTGCAAAAAGGGGTCATTTGGGGGGTGGGGGGTTTGGTGCTATCCTGGCATTTCAGGAGCTCCGAAACTGTGATAGGTAGACAGGAAGTGTAATGAGGAGATAAAGCCATTTAAATGCCTGAAAGTGCTTATTGGATTTTTGGGTCCCGTATTTGGCTAGACTGCCAAAAACTACCCCCATACTCGGGAGAAGTAGAAGAATGTATTTTGGAGAGTAATTCCACATATACCCATGGCATGTGTGAGCAATCAAATCATTTTTTTTGTCATTTTCCAAAAACTTGTGGATCCAATTTCTTAGACTATAGAGATTATTGGCACCATTACAGTCTCCAATCAGCTCTATGGTCAGCTGGCAGAAACACAGGCTGCATTCTCAGATTCCCCTGATGGCAAGGGATTGCCCGTGTAGACCGTAGAAGGCAGCGGGGGAGGAGACATCTTCTCCAGCTCCTTCTAAAAGCAATCCTGCAGCTAATTAGCCACTAGGATTGCTTCTACATGAAATACGATCGCTGGCTGAAAAAAAATTTACCAGGATGATGCCTGCTGCTGCAGACATCATCCTGGTATAACCGCTCAAAGTCCAGTGATGTACCATGTGCTCTTGTTTTAACTGTGGATGAAAAATCTCATCCAACAGCACTGCACATGTCTACTTATGTATATTCTGAGAGCAAAACCCTGTTGCTGTCAGAATAAACACGTCGGTGCTGCAGCTGAATGACATTCCTGCAAAGAAAACAGCAATAGTTAACAATAAAACAGTAACTCAATGAAACAACTTTTTTATTGAAATATCTCTACCAGAAAAAGTGTATGGTATGCCCACCATTAGAATATACCACCCTACATCCACCCACTTCTAATGGTGGGACAAAATATATTATAAAATATATATGCCGAAGCACAGGGGCCATCCACCCTCTGGCCACTCCAGGCCCCCATGCTTCCTCATATATGCTCTTTTTTAACTGCGGATGAAAAATATCATCCAACAGCACTGCCCACACTAACTTATGTATATTCTGAAAGCAAGTTCCTGTTGCTGTCAGAATAAACAGGTCGGCGCTGCAGCTGAGTGGCATTCTTGCAAAGAAAACAGCAATGGTTAACAATAAAACAGTAAAATTGTAATGGTAGAACAGTAGAACCAACGATAACAAAAAAAAACTAACTGTTTGGGGGGATTTGTACTTTTTATTTTTTACACTTTTTTTATCTTTAAACTTTAACTTTTTAAAACAGATTGTAAGGTCTATCAAAATAGCCAGTTTCCTGATTACCTAACATCTTTCTAGACACTGTGTAAATATGTGCCCTGAACTGTGTTGTGCTGTACCCTATACGAGTGTTTCTCAAACTTTTTTCAGTCAAGGCACCCTTTAAAATTATGGACAGTCCCGAAGCACCCTTTAAAATTATGGACAATCTTGTGGCACCCCATTCTAAAATGTGAAAAACTATTCTAATAGTTTTATCCATACATGTAGGACACCCAACATCAGAGGGGATTTATTCTTCCAAAGCAAATACACTTTTGCGCACTGGTACTGAGTAGTGTTCCAATGTTTCTCTTCTCCCTCAGTTTTTCTCCATCACTGAGCTAATGTGACCCCAGCACTGATGGAGAGGGTTAGGGGAGGATCAAATTAGGATGCTGTGCAGGCAGCTGATGTCCTCCTTTTCAACTGATGATGTAATTGGTTGTCAGGCCGCCAGCTAGAAGGTTGTAATGGTGCACAATGAAAACCTGTGGCTTTGTGTAACTAAAAGGCAAGCTTTTTCCACCCGCTGGCTTATATACAAGTTTTGGGCAATTTTTAGACATTTTGCCAAGGCACCCCTGAAGAAACCTCAAGGCACCCCAGGGTGCTTGGGCACCCTGGTTGAGAAAGGCTGCCCTATACTAATACTCCACTAGTGTGTGGTAGCGATGGAAGCAGTACTTGAGGCAGAGACCAGGATAGGAGGGACAAAAAAAGCGGGTGTCACGCCTAATTCCATATCTGCTACAGACACATCTTTTTCAGGGTGTCCTTTGGGTTGGGGTACCAGGAATGGCTTTGAGAAAATGCCTTTCATGCAGCCGGCTAACTGCATTTGTGTGGGGGGTTTTGGCCACAGCACCTTCTGGATACAAAAGGGCATTGATCATCTCTTCTTGGAATTTTAGGAAGGATCCACTTTGTCCAGTTGCTTTGTAAAGCACAAAAGCATTATATAAAGCCAATTGAAATAAATAACTTGCTGGGGGAGAAGGGAGGGTAAGTGTAGGGGCTAAACGCAGGTGCTGGAGCTGATTTTTGGGGACACTATACTAATGTGAATGCTGGTATAGTGCTGATCTGATCAAAGATATTGATCTGTTCAGAAATTATACTAACAATGGAGGTTTATTGTGTATGTGAGCGTGTTCCTGGCAATCAAGGGGTTAAATGTGATTGCTGGTGTACTGATGGGCAATCTGATGCTATCTGGGAGGGGCGCTAACTGATGCTAACTGACGTTAACGTTATCTGAAGTCGCCAGTGACACTAATACAGTGATCAGCAAAAAATCTGTACATTGTACTAATGACACTTGTGACTGGGCAGTGAAGGGGTTAACTTGGGGGGGATCAAGGGGTTAAATGTGCTCTAAAGTGTTCTAACAGTGAAAAGTGTGCTGCTTTTACTCAGTGTGTCTTGATTCTTCTCTCTCTGGGATGGAATGTGCCAAGAGAGAGAAGATTTCATCACGTCCTGTAGCTGTGTAACTGTAAACACAGTTACAGGAAGATCTCTGATAGGACAGGGATGAATCATCTGACTTTGGTCCACCATCACTGGCCTAAATCAGATGATTGATCCCTTAGGGAACAAATCACAGCACCCTCGGGTTGGCGGGGGTGCACGCCCCCCTCGCCTGCGAAAACAGTATGTGATTTTGCATACCCATGCCGCCCTGTAGCAGTATTTCTGCTATAGGGTGGCATGGAAGTGGTTAAATTATACATTCTAAATTTTATTTCATGGTAAAAATTCAGGAATTTTACAGCTGGATAGAAAAAAAATGGGGCAGTAGCAGGGGCGGACTGACAACTCATGAGGCCTCCAGGCAATAGGAAATCATGGGGCCCCTGTGTCCTAGCCCACACTCAAACCACACCCAAAAAAGCCTATGAAAGGTACCAGGGGCATCTCATGGGGCCCCCTACTGACCCCAGGCCCTCGGGCAGTGCCCTAGTGGCTAAATGGTCAGTCCTCCCCTGGGCAGTAGCCACTAAATCAGAGTGAGGTGTGGCTGCTGTAAAAATACAAGCAATACTTTAACCACTTACCTACTGGGCACTTATACCCTCTTCTTTACCAGGCCCATTTTCAGCTTTCAGCGCTGTCGCACTTTGATTGACAATTGCGCAGTCATGCAAGATTGTACCCATATGAAATTTTTATCAGTTTTTTCTCACAAATAGAGATTTCTTTTGGTGGTATTTAATTGTCGCTGGGCACTTTGCTTTTTGTGCTATAAACAAAAAAAGTGCAAAAAATTGAAAAAAAAAAAGTTTCTTTGTTTCTATTATAAACTTTTTTAAACAGGTAGTTTTTCTCCTTCACTGATGTGAGTTGATGAGGCAGCACTGATGGGCACTAATAGGTGGCACTGATGGGCACTGATAGGCAGCACTGATAGGCAGCACTAATAGGCAGCACCAATGAGGTGGCACGGATAGGCGGCACTGATAGGCAGCACTAATGAGGTGTAACGGATAGGCGGCACTGATAGGTGGCACTGATAGACAGCACTGATAGGTGGCACTGACTGGCATCACTGCTGGGCACTGACTGGCGGCACTTCTAGGCATTGACTGGCGCAACTGCTGGGCACTGACTGGCACAACCGCTGGGCACTGACTGGTGGCATTGACTGGTAGCACTGCTGGGCTGCACTTATGGGCACTGGTGGGTTACACTGGTGGGCACAGGTGGGTGGCACTGGTGGGCACAGGTGGCTGGACACAGGTGGGTGGCACTGCTGGGCACAGGTAGGTGGCACGTCTGGGCACAGGTGTATGGCACTGCTGGGTGGCACAGGTGGGTGTACTGCTAGCACAAGTGGGAGCAATGCTGGGCACAGGTGGATGCACAGGTGGGCGCACTGCTGGGCACGGGTGGGCGGAACTGGTTGGTGGCACTGCTGGGCACCGATCATCAGGGCACTGATGATCGGTGCCAATCCCTGCTCTGACAACTGCCGGTTCTTGGCAGTACTTTCCTCACGCTCTGACAGTGTGAGGAAAGTGCAGCCGAGAACCGGCAATTGCATTTCCCGGTGATCAGAGTGTCATTGGACACAGCTAATCACGTGGTAAAAGGCCGCTGTGATTGGCCTTTTACCACATCACGTGATCAGCTGTGTCCGTAGGACACAGCGATCATGGAGATCGCCGGGTGCTCGCCCCCGGGGGCGCGCAGGATAGCGCGTTCTGGGAGGACATCATATGACACCCTCCCAGAACTCTTCGGCCGCAGGGTAGCCGTCATTCGGCTATCTGCGGTTTGCAAGTAGTTAAAATTGCAAAAACCGATTACACGTGCCAAATACAGTATATGATACCAGAATATGGTGTTTCTAATGCTGTCTGTGAAAATTGTACCTGTTCCATTTACAACCTAAAGAATCCTCCAAAGCATATAAGTGAAATTATTTTTTCCCATGTCACCCTCAAAGTCAGATAAAAAAAATTACAGATTTCCCTCTCCCCATTGTATGATATTTAAACTTTTTTTTTTGCATTTGTGCATGTACCCCAGTCCAGCACTCAATTTCCTATGCACTTTATTTGACAATCCCTTGCCTATTGGCCTTGATGCTCAGATTCTATTTTTAAAATTCCACCATAGACTTCAAAAGGATTTGGATTTAAGTCCTAAATTTTCAGAATTGATAATGGGTTTAATAAACACCCTGTGAATCAAACCCAGAAACATTTGCTCAACCCTAATCCAACTGCAGGGTGGAAAGCATTTGCAGAGCTTAAGACAGCAACCTTAAATAATAACACAAACATTGTTGGCATAAGTCTTCATGAAGAAGAATTGAGAAAAGAAAAAATTAAGTGGGTTGATTTACTAAAGGAGTATTTTTTTTATCCTTTTTTGTGTTCACGTAAACTACTCAGGTAGGTTGAAAGAAAACTGTAGCGTGTTTTGACTAATCACACATTTTAGATACGTTTGGAAAGGGGACAACAACAATGGGCTGACAAAAAATAAACTGATAGGGGTTATAACCCTCCCTTACTCTATCCATGAATACAAATTTTGCCTATAGGTCTACTTTAAATATCTATCTATCTATCTATCTATCTATCTATCTATCTATCTATCTATCTATCTATATTCTTGTTTTTTTTTTTTCATTCTTTTACTGTGTATCAGTTAACCTCTGTTAGTGTGTAAAAGTCTCAAGTGAAATATCATGCTATTTTATTAAATGTATTATTTAAAGGTTAGCTTACCCAGTAAAATCAATATTTACCAATTTGTTCATCTTTGATAGGATCACATAGGAACTTATACCTATCATATCTATCCTTGACAAGCATAAACAAAATAGCTCATTTCTTTTTTGCATTCTGCAGACTACAGACCGTGTTAGACTATAAATGTGCCAACAACTTAGGATATTACTAATTTAAAATAGCTATAGTTTATTTTTTAGATGGCAAAATTGATATTTGTTTTTCATTTATGTTAATATAAAAAGAGACAGCACTGATCATTATCATTATCATTCTTCTTGGCGTAACCAAATATTAGTTGAAAAGAACTTTATAAAGGGTCACAATATGGTAGATGTCTGGACTTGGTTCAACATTTCTCTGTTCATTAATGACAGAAGCATTGATGCAAATTTCATGGCAGACTCTTGGGAAGTCTCTAAGAACAATGGTTTGATAGATAGTATATCTATCTGTTGTGTAACATGGGCGATAAAATGGTATTGACTCTTTGGGGGCTATACCCTTGCTGTCCAAGGGCACATGCACATTAGGATGTGTTAGTTGCACACTACACATAAAGTAGCCACCAGATCCCTGTGTAATTGGTATTGTTTACTAATTATGATGATATATATAGCTATTAAGGATATGCATTATACATGTTATAGTTAAACCTGAGGCCCCTCTAGGATGGGATTTGGTTCTCGATATGATGTATGAGTCCTGGTTTTGTGAAGGTGGCATAGGCCTGGCATTGTGTTGTTTAATGGCTTGTTTTGGAAGGTGTGTAGTAGTATGAAATTGTTGCATTCACATTCTCAAAATATACACAATAAAACCGCCATCCAAGGCAATAAGGTAATTCTTTTAAAGCAGCATAAACATAGCAACAAAGCAAACATAATTACACCCAGAGAAGGCACAAAAGCCCATAATTGGCAATGTCTATGAAGAGAAGGGGCATATAGTGTGTACCTCTCATTCAGGAAATCACGCTCCACTTCAGTCATCAGTCCAAGAGTGTTTATTTGTGCACCTAGTGCTAGGGAATATATAGGGCAGCTGAATGTTCCTACCACCCCCCTCCCATGCAGCTTTCCCTGGCATCAAAAAATGGGCAGTGCACGTGGATGTGTCACTGTGCCTGTATCTCCAAGTCATCCCACATGTGCAGTGATGATGCGATGACGACTGGAGAACTGCGCATGCCCATTTGTGGCAGAACACTGACCAATATCTTGCATGTGTGCAGTAATGGCGGGAACATGGTGAACCACCTCCCCAGTGGCCCAGACTCTGGATGTAGGCAAGGTAGACATCACCCCACAAGCCAAAGGGGACAAAAGAGGAAAGCGGTGAAAGATCACAGCCCCGTCCCACTATGAGACCACCCCAACCTTCTATTAGATCAAAACATAGCACATGGTAAACAATACCAATTACACAGGGATCTGGTGGTAATTTCTGTATAGGGTGGAACTCACACATCCTAATGTGCATGTGCCATTGAACAGCAAGGGGATAGCCTCCAAACAGTCAATACCATTTTATCATCCAGGTTAAGCAACAGACCACTGACATCTCTGTGAAAGACAAACAAGATAAGTTACAGAAGAATATACATAAACGTTGACAGGTGAATCAGACAAAGAAGGGGCTAATAGTTATGCTTATGTAACGAACATTATTTATAGGAATGGTTTGAAACCTATATTTTCATTAATGCCAGGCGGTTTTGTAGCCTTAAGCTGAAAAATCCACTTTGTTTTATAGAGGACATCATCTTTCCATTTTTAATTAAATGCACTTGATCCCTAATGCGTTTCCAAATGGGTATTTTTACATGAGCATTCCATGTAGTACACCACCCTCACTGTTTGACAATCAATGGCATGTTTTGGAGTCCACAACCATCCATTAGGTAAAGGAATAGTTACATAGTTACATAGTTAGTCTGGCTGAAAAAAGACAAAAGCCCATCCAGTTCAACCAAAAAAAAAGTTATAATCATATACCACAGTTGACCCAGAGGAAGGCAAAACAATCCAGCAAAGCAATTTGCTCTTGCAGAGGAAGAAAATCCTTCCTGATCCTTCGAGATGCAATCAGATATTCCCTGGATCAACTTTACCTATAAATGTTAGTATCCAGTTATATTATGTGTATTTAGGAAAGAATCCAGGCCTTTTTTAAAGAAATCTACTGAGCTGGTCAGAACCAACTCTTGAGAGAGTCTGTTCCACATTTTCACAGCTCCTACTGTGAAGAAACCTTTCCGTTGTTGGAGATAAAATACTTCCAGACATAAAGAGTGCCCCCTTGTCCTCTGTGATGACCACAGGGTGAATAACTCTACACCGAGTTCACTATCTGAACCACTGATGTATTATACATGTTGATCATATCCCCCTTAATCTCATCTTCTCAAGATAGAATAAATTCACTTCCTCTAATATTTCCTCATAGCTGAGCTCCTCAATGCCTCTTATCAGTTTGTACAGGATTGTACAGCGCTGAGCAAACCCTTTGGCGCTATATAAACTCGTAGTAATAATAATAATAATAATAGTAATAATAATAATAATCAGTTTGGTTGCCCTGTACTTCCTCCAGTTCCCCAATATCCTTTTTGTGAATTGGTGCTCAAAACTGAACCTCATATTCCAGATGAGGTCTTACTAAAGGTTTGTATAGGGGTAAAATGATATATCTATCTCTGGAGTCTATATCTCTTTTATTACAAGAGAGGATTTTGCTCACTTTAGAAACCGCAGCTTGACATTACATGCCATTATTAACTTTATGATCTACCAGAACTCCCAGATCCTTCTCCACCATTGATTCCCCCAGTTGTACACCCCCTAGTATATAGCATACATGCATACTTTTAGCCTCCAAGTGCATAACTTTACATTTATCAACATTAAACCTCATTTGCCACATAGTTGCTCAATTAAACACTGCATTGAGGTCAGCTTGTATGTTGGAGACATCCTGTAAGAACGTTATTCCACTGCAAAACTTAGTGTCATCTGCAAAAACTGAAGTGGTATTTTTGATCCCAGACCCTATATCGTTTATAAATATATTAAAAAGTAAGGGTCCCAACACTGAACCTTGGGGTACACAATTAACAACCCTAGACCCATCAGAGTATGAATCATTAACTATTACTTTCTGAATATGATCTTTAGCCAATATTCTATTTTGAATATTATCCATTTACATACTACATACATACATAGTTCTTCCTACACATAACCAATTGCAAAAATTGCATCGCCTACACATAAAGGTGTCCCTCCGTTGATGCCTGGAAGGTACAGTTTGAAAATGGCTTTGTGTGAGATGATTGGTATGTGGTTTCGGGACTGTGTCCCATGTATTTGGTCACCACTGGGTCATTTCTTAATAGATGCCAGTGTTTCCATAAGACCTTTGCCATTTGTGTATGGTTTTGAGAAAACCAAGTATTGAGATGTGTAGGTTTACTAGTTTGGGCTTTTTTATATGTATAAATAAGGGATTTCTGTGATCTAAGTTTGTTCTTGTTAAATGCTCTCTTCAAGCTGTAACCTAAGAAGGAGGTGTAAGATGGAGACTCTGAAGTAGTCCAGACTGATTGATGAAATCTTCCACCCTGCTGCAATTGAGTTTCAGTCTTAGGTATTGCCCATAGGGAATACTCTTAATGGTCTGGGATAGGCACTCATGGCATG